GGCTCTGTGCTTAGGTTCTACTCTTGGCTTCAGATTCTTAAATCTTCCCTTATCTGAAAAACTTGGCTGTGAGGTTAAGGACTCTTTATTTTCCATCAGGAGCTAGGACTCTTTTGCTTGTGCATTCTTTTTCTTATTTTTTTTTTATTTTATACATTTTTACATCATTTTTCATTTTTGCACAATGTATGCATTTTCATCTTGTTTGTAGTCCCCATACAATTCCCACTCTCCCCCCCCCCCGTTTTGATCCTACTCCCTCCTTCGCCCCCCTGTAGTGTGTCTCTGGTTTATAGTTCTTGTTGATTTTGATTTTTACTTTATTATAATTAGTTTTTTTGCTGGTCCCTTATTTATGCTTGTGCATTTTTTTAAAAAAGATTTATTTATGCATACAAGAGCTGGGGTGTAGGCCAGAGGTGTGGGGGGGGGGTGAGAGGATTCACCAGAGACAGAGTGGGGAGCAGAACAGGTGGGTCTACTGAAATCCACTGCTGAGGGGAGCAGCAGGCGAGAGAGGAGAGGTCTGCTGCACACTGTAGGTTAGCTCACTGGCCAGGATTGAACTCGTGCTGCAGTGGCTGCCGATAGCTTGATAGCACTGAGACTTTAACCCCTGCACAGGGAAGCCCTTTTCTTTGTGCATTTACCCGTCTCAGGTTCCTGCTCTGGCCCCCTGGCATGTGGAGGGAGGCGGGACTTACTGCCAGAGCATTGACCTGGCCCATCACGTTTCACATGAAAAGATAAATTCCACTTGCTTTTTTGCTTGTCCCAAGTTGGAATGTTATATAATAAATAGCAGAAAGTGTTAGCTCTCCAGATGTTTTTCTATGCATATTTTTAAAGCAACATGCATGCATACTATAGTCATAGGTGATATCCTGCTTTCTTAACATACCCATGTCAGGGGGTCTTCTTATTGCGCATACTCATTCTGAACCAAGTACTGTACACCTGGTATATTAGTGGAGTCACTTTCCATTGTACAGTAGTGGAGTCATTTTCAATCAAGTGTCAGAAAAAGAACCCATTCCAATAACTTTTAACCTAGAAAATAACATTTATGGTATGTTGCTGAGAAAGCCTGTGGTGCACTTAGTTTCACATAGAATATTCTCTTTGTTTCTATGTCTTAGCGCTGCTTTCTCTAAGTCATGCCCCTTCCCTGACACAGAAAGGCTCTCTGGATGCAGCAAGAGGAGCCGGCTACCAGTGCTCCCCTTTTCTGTATTGTAAGGAGTGATGCTTTGTCTTCAGGGGTTCTCATTGTTCTCACGTGGCATGTGTGCATCGTTGGCACCAGTCTTTGACTTGTCCTGGGTTGCTTTGATCGGCCGGCTGTGCTCGGCTTGCCTGCCCACTGACAACATCCACAGTGGTGCACTAACTCTAGTCCCAGTCCTCTCCGCTCACACTGGAGCTGAAAGGCACGTGGCAGGCTCCCCCTTTTGTTAGGGGGAAAAGGATGTCCTAAAGCTGATTCCATACAGGCTTTGTGGACTCCACCCCTACCCCAGGCCAAAGCCAAAGACACTGGGAACTCCAAATCCCATCCCCACCAAAGGGAAGGTAGCTGGGACCTGGGGGTGGGGTTAAGCAGCCAGGTTGGTATAAAGCCAGACACTTGGGCTTTGGGGGGTCCCCCATTTTGGCTCTCCACCAGCTCGCAGCGTACGGCCAGCTCTGAGAGTGACTTTGGGTTTCCAGGTCGTTGGATCGGGTAGGACGCATTAAAGACTTTATTTCCCTATTTTCTCCCTGAGTTGTACATTTTCCTTATTTCCTTTTCCCTTGTAAATAAACCTTTTATTAACCTTTTGTGTGTGCCTGTAGTAGAGTAAAGACAATCAGACTGATATTTCCAGTGATCAGTTGTGGAGGGATTTCTTTCCCAGATACTTGTTATGTGCAGTCTTTAACAGGAATGAACACAAAATTTTACATTTTTGCACCTTTTGGTAGTTTCAGACACATTGACTCCCTTTCCTGCGTTTAAATTCAGCTCTTCAAATGGTTCTGAAACCCATTGGCACCCACTGAATCTGTCGGTCACACATGTGGAATTAGATGCATTTATGATCTGAATGTCATGACCATCCCACCCAGGTGTGCTGCCTGAGCTCCCTAGATATTGTCTTCTGCAATATCTTTTGAACTCAGACTGTCCTAAAACATTTTTTCATCATCCTCCATCTCTAGGACCACACCTTGGACTCACTAGTTCTCCGTATCATAGTGGCTCATGGAACCAAACTCCACCCAGAGGGGCAGTAAGCTTCCTGCAGTGTGCTTCCAACTCGCTCAAAGCCATTCCTTATTGCTGCTGATCACTCATTTCTACAATGTTATCTGTTCTGATCATTTCATCACTGACTGTCAAAATTCCACTATTTCAGACTAAAAGAGAAAGTTAAAAAGCCAGGGAACTGTTTAATAGAAAGGTACCTCCAGTGGCTTAAACAAGTAGGCATTTAATTATTTTAGTTATTTTTCTACTCCTGGTATAGGAGCTCCAGATCATTAAGGATCAATGCTCTTGCCTTCTTTCATTTTCCTCTGCCATCCTGAACTTGTTAGCCTTCCAATTCAACAATCTAATACTGCTTTTCTTCTTCCAAACTCTGGGCTTTAAACTCATGGTATTTTATATCCAGCAGACCTGGGTTTTCAATTGCAAGTAACAATGCAGAATTATAGTACCTTAAATAAATATGATGGTTATTGCAGTAGCTCAATGACATCTTCAAGGAACTATGCTCTTAAGAAATATTTTCCTTCTTCAATTGTGGTTATATTTCATCTTCATACTTTCATCTTCATGTCTCTTGGAATTAATAAGGCTTCTTTATTGCAGTGTTCATCTTCTTATCTCATGAGACAGGAAGGCTTCCTTATTCTTGCTGTCATATTTGCATTCAATTGGTGAAAATGGAAAGAGTATTGAATGGCAAAAAGGGTCTTTCTAGGCATATCTTTATCAGGTAAACAGATGCACTAAACTCCTGCTGCGGTCAAATATACTCTGGAAGTGGGGGGTTGGGTAGGGAGGTGTTGTAGAGGGGCATTTGGTCAGTCAACTTACAGTATGTGCCACATAGAAGTAGATATCAAAGTAGTTTCCAGAACTGACAACATGTTAAGCTGTGCCTGCAATCTCCTCAGTTTATAGATCAGTGCTGTCTTAAATGGTAGCTAATTGCCATTTGTAGTTATTAAAATTACATACAATGAAAAACTGAGATCATCAATTTTTCGCCACATTCGGATGTTCAATAGTCACCTGGGGCTGGTGGACATCATGTTAGACCACACAGACCTAGTACATTTCCAGAAAGTTCTATTGCTCAGTGCTGGACTAGAAGACGAGAGGGTCAGTGAAGGGGAGGGTGAGTTCCCAGTTTACACAGTTGGCTAGTAGTGAAGTAGAGACCAGGCACCCACTCTTATGATGTTAAGATCAAGATTCTTTTAAACAGTTTGTGTGGTTTTCCATATATTTCCGTCTTGTGCTTAATACTGCTTCTTATTTTCAAGAAATTAGGCCTAAATTTTCTTATTCTTCTACGCTCTAGTGTATATCAATGGCTGAAAATGCTGCTGTGGGTAACCTGAGGTGTTTTCCTGTGTGATGTGTTGAGCCGCTTTACAATAAGGCTTAAATGTGCCTGAAGAAGTCAGTTAAGAGTAGATAAGGATTCTGTTGAGGAAGAGGAAATCTGTTTTAGCTTTAATTCTGTTTTGCTTTCTGTGGTGGCTAAAAGGCATTGCCCCTTTAAGAAACCTTTGGTAAAATCACCTGCTTCTGAGGTGGCTAGAGGCACAGAATGTATATCTTTTAAAAAGCTTTAAGATCCTGGTCTGGAGAAGGGCTACATTGAAAGAGAAAGGGGCAGAAGCTAAGATGTTGGTAGGAGTAGCAAAGAGGAGATAGGCTGTTATCACTGAGATTCTACGTAATAGCTAAGTAGAAATAGAAACACCTGGTTTAAAGCTGAGGCAGTAGCCTTGGATGATAGATGAACACAAGAAAAAAAAGGCATTCAGTAAAGAGAAAAACAGGAAATATTAGAATTAAGAGATAAGAATACCATGCGCTTGAATTTCTTCATAAACATTATTTAACTGTGCTATTCCACAAAAAGTAAATGGAAAATATTAAATTAATTGTTTTATTATCTATCTAAAAGTATACAAAGTACACAGGCACATTATCTGGTTTATTTCCATCATTCTTGATTTCTTAATATAAATTAAGTGGGTTTGCCTGTGCTGCTTCAATTAGCAATCATTCATCACCCTGTGGTTATAGACAGAAGTAAAAGTTAGTATGAAAAGCAAACCTCTCCCTTGGGTAGCGGGTCTTCATTTGAAACCCCCTTTTTATCATGAAAAAAAAAAAAACATTAACACTGAAAAACAAATGCTTGGTAACAGTCCACTCAAGTGCATTCCTTGAGATATATCCTTCCATCCCCTGGCGGGCTCAGTCTCTGTGCATGTTTTTCAAGCCCTCAACATGGAAGTGAGTAATCAGCCTAAATTATCATTAAGTTGAGAAGGAACTTGGATCATTCTAGATATGTGCTTAGTCTGTTTTCACACATCCAAATGGATGCAAATGCAAATGGAAATCCTCATTGAGTCTTGAAAAAATACCACACAGGTAATCAGTTCAGAATCTTAGTTCTGGTCTTGTGAGGATATGTGCTTGGACAGCGGGACAGCGTATGTACTGATATTTAAGGAATATAAGGGAAGTTGTGCTCTCCAGAGAATCATTTATCCATGGGCGCTTTTTTCCCCCTCATTTGGAAACGAGGAACTTGGGCATTATTTTTGTGGGACCCATTTCATGATTCTGTATGGGAAATACACCTGCCTCAGTATTTGGAAATGGATAAATGTGTCAGCCCCGGGCACAAATGAAAAAATGCACTGGGAATTGCTGAAAATAACTGCAGAAGGAGATGCCCAATACGATACATTGTCTCTTTCAGTGAGAAAATTGCAAGTTCCCAAGAAAATTCTCCTGAATGCTGACCTTCGTCAGGAGGCACTGAGGTAAATCAATGTATTATTGATCGACCTGCTGTCAGGAATCTATTTTTCTTTCCTTCTTTCTATCTCTATACCTTTATGGTGAGTAGTAAGTCCAGCAGAAGCTTACACAGTTACCAGCAACTCGGAGAAAAGTAACATAGGTTGTTCCCCAAATTCCAAAGGTGTTTTACTTATTGAACAGAAACAAGTAGACTCTAAAGAAAAGAAAGCAATTGTTTCACTTTAGTGTTGGCTTTAAATTAGCCTCTGCTCTAGGGTATGTGGCCTCTTGTCACATGTGCTCTGGTGTGTCCAGTCACAGACATGGAAAAGTAAAATCCATAAAAATATGGCTATAAAAACAATCAAATCCAAATCCCTTCAAAGTCAGCCCTAAAGTATTTACCTTATGCCTGCCAAAGCCAAATTAACCCATTATTTCACCCCATGCATTACCTGATTTAATATTTATGGGGGTGGGATGTTGAATATTGGCTCTCCAAAATATTACCAGAGTGCTCTGTTGCCAAGACAAAGCTAATTGAATTTGTTGCTTACCACTGTAAGGGAGAACTTTGGTGCTGACAGAGTCTAATAACATTCTAGGAGAGGAAAGGAGAGGCTGGGATGTCGAGACTTTGAAGTCTCCTAGTGGGAGGGTGCAGCTTGATTCGGAATGGGTAAAGATCATGATCTAATAGCTAGTATCACGAGGTGGGCATAGCAAAACAGGAATTTGGCGGCAAGATTTTTCAAGAAGTCCTTAGGCCTATATTGTCACTTGATGCCTCCTTTTAAAGACTTGCTGGAATGAACAATAAAGGTGTTTACAATTTACATGTTCCTGGGCAAATGTCTCCAAACATAAAGTCATGTTAGTGGCTATCGGGGGACATATACACATGTTAATAGAAGAGTAGGCTGTCTGAGACACACAATTTTGGTTCTCAGCACGTGTGAATTGGGCGAACATGTAGGTCCTGCTGGTCTCCAGGTGTGTGTATTGCAAAGTTCACAGAGATAGGAAGCAGGAGTTGAGAGGAGAGAGATACTAGGTTGAGAGACGAAACGATGGACAGAATTATGAAGGATTAACAGTGAGCTGGAGGCCCTGATCACGGACTATAGGCTTAGAGCGCTGGAGTGCTAACCTAGGGTGCTAACCTCCACTGCTTACTAGTCACGGTGTAATGCCAGGAAGGCACAGAGCTGGTTCTCTATGATCCGAGCCGACCGGGTAAAGGAAAGTCCTGAAGCCCTTGGAGGCTTTCTCGGGCTTTTATTGAGCTTTTACATGTAGTGCAGCAACCAGGTACACGGCAGAGGTACCGGGGGGGGGGGGGGGGGGGCCAGGAGGCCAAGAGGCCTCCAAGCCTCCGGCAAGTCTTCACTCAGGGCTTCTTTCTCCCCTTCTCTCTCCTGCCTCTCTCTTCTGCTGCTGCTTCTCTTGGCAGATATCTCAATACTGCTTTCCTGGCCCGCAGAAGTAAACAACACAACTTGTAACAATGTGACAAATGGCAGGAGGGCAGAAAAGCCTGAAAACCATTTACCCTACGCACAGCTTCCCTTCTTTAAAAGTTCATTCAGGGCACGGAAACACATTCGGGTTTTGTCAGGGTTCTGTGCAGAATGTATGGAAGCAAGGTCGTTGCATGCGGCTCCGCTCCCTGTTTTTGAAGGCTCCTGTGCCCTCTGCAGTCAGGTGTTTCCTTCTGTGTGCCTCTTTTAAACAAACGTAGCTCAGAACTTGGAGCCAGCTTTACTTGGGGGATGACCACCATTTTAGCAGTCCTCAAACGTCATCAGGGAAAGAAGAGGACTGAGGTGGTTTGTTGGAGTCTTAGAGACTCTCTTCAAGGATGCAAGACCAGAGCAGCTGTTCATTTCCTTATTCCAGCTTTATGAGTTTCTTTTTCTTCCAGAATGAGCTGAGAGTAGAGCTCCGTGATCAGTGAGACATCTCAGAAGCAGGAGCTGCAAAGTTCCAGATAAGGACGTGGAAGCACTGATTGTGAGTTTCTTTGATTTTAGAGCGTGCGCGCTCTCTCTTGCTCTCTCTCTCTCTCTCTCATACATGCATGAGCTTGTGCTTTTTTAAAAATGGCAGCAGAGATCTGGTGTACAGAATGAGAGATGAGGGACCACATAAGTAGGAAGGAAGTAGGAGAATCACTTTTTAGGGGTTAGAGGTATGATTTAGGTTTTGAGAAGACATTCTTAAGGATATTTCAGGAAATGTTTGTGTTTGTCCTATTCAGGGACCTGATCCTTCAGATAAGAGAGATGGATGTTTTGAAGGCGCTGTTAGGGATTTTCATTCCAGTACTTCTGGCATTGAATCTATTTTCAAGTTCGTTTTCTCAAAAAGTGTCTATGTAAAGCTCCCTCACAGCTCTTTCTAGACCTGTGTCATATGTATTCTGGACCAAGCTGAAGATACATTGAATGACTGCCCTCCTTACCATGGAAACGAAAATGCTATAGCTCCCCCTTGTGTCCTGTGAGGCCAAAACATCCCTGATTGAGCCAGAGCAGCAGAATCTACTCCATTTAGATCTTAAAAGGATAGTCTTAAAGTTTTGCGGGGAGGGCCTCCCTGGTGGCTCAAGGGATTAAGCACAGCACTGTGAAGCAATCTGCAGCCTCTGCAGCACGAGTTTGGTCCCCAGCCAGCCAGAGAGAAACCCACATGGCGCAGCAGACCACTCCTGACTCGCCCGCTGCTCCCCTCAGCAGTGTACTTCGGTCAATCTGCCTGTTCTGTTCCCCACTCTGTCTCTGGTGAATCCTCTAACCCCCCCCTCAACATGTCTTGCCAGTACCCCAGTTCTTGTATGCATAAAAAATCTTTAAAAAAAAGTTTTGGGGGAATTGGACGTTGCTATACAGCAAAGTACCAAGGGATCCAGTTTCTCTTGTGATTTCCCCCTTATTTCCTAATCTCCTGCAGAGAATTCCAGGGCCTCTTTCTTGCAGGGTCACTTTTTTTCTTGCCAACAGTTTTTTTTGGGATGGTTGCTTCCTGAGATTGTGGTCCAGTTATCCTTCACTTAGTACTACGAATCTTGTACCATTTCCTCTCCAAATGGGGAAAATCGAAGTTGCTTTCACGGTTGCCTCCTCTTGCCCTGTCGTAGGGACCACCGCATTCTGCATCGTGACTTGTCGATTTGAGTCAGACACCAGGTAGTTTACCCCTCCCTCATTCCCAGATCTCCCACGCCCCTGATGTATGGAGTTGGACTTAACACATTTTGGCTGCTCAAGAAATATGCAGTCACACTTCTCTTTTGGAAACAATTCCCCAATCCTCCCCCCACCTCTCTCTTGCCTTGAACAAAGAAGCAGGTCGAATTCCACAGTGCTCGCTGCCAGTGAATAGGCTCACTTCAAATAATCTTTGGTAACTGCTGATTTTCTTCACGTGTGTAGCAATTCTTTTTTTCCCCTTGAATGTTGCCTTGAATTTTGCAATTCTTTTATAATGTGCTGCTTGTTACTGATTTTGCACCTTTGCCAATATTGCCAGGCAAGAGGGAGGGAAAAGTCTCGTGAGGTGTCTTTAAAACTTATATATAGAAGTAAGAGATGCTGATTGTGAAAAAGATTTACGTAACTTCACAATTACATCCATAGGACAAAACCTTAAGGGAGGAACTACTTTAACCTCATTTGCTGGACCAAATCTGGAGGGAGAACCCCGAGTTAGGTGGCCCAGGGGACTGTCCCCAGATGGGGGGAGCAGGGGAGAGAAAACGGTAGCCATTTTCCGGTCACATTTTCAGCCCATTTAATTTCACCCCTGCCTGCCCTGCCGCCAGTTCTTATTTTGAACCTTTGGACACTGTTTTCTTTTTATTGAGGCTACATTAATTCACAAAGCTGAGTAGGTAGGTTTCAGGTACACAGTGTCTCACCTCAGCAACTGCGTATTTCACACCACATCCGCCACGGAGGGTCCAGTCACCGTCTTCCACCAGCCTGTTCTCTCCTGCTCCTCCCTCTCTGGTAACCGCCATTTTGTTGTCAGAGTCTAAGGTTTATTTTTGTCTGATTTGGTTGGTTATTTTTTTTCCTATATGCCACAAAGGAGCAAAATCATACAGTATTTATCTTTCTCCTTTAGATTTATTTCACTTAGTGTAATCCCCTCCTGTGGACACTGTTTTCTTAAGGAAAGTGAGAAATCTTTGGCCCCAACCCTGAAAGGACCCCTACTTGTTCACCATCAGGGACATGATTTTCCAGACAGAGGAAAGTGTCACTCCACACAGACCCAAACCAAACTCATTGCTCTCCAGTGTCTACTAAATTTGTATTTGGGGCATATGAAGAGCAATAATACAAGGCAGCACAAAATAAGAGACAGTCTTACGAAACGCCAATGCTTTGTGATTTCTGAGGCAGGACAAATAAGGCCTGGCAAACTTCAGGATGAAAGGATACGCAGACACTTAAAAGGAAGGCTAGACTGAGACCAAAGGAGGGAGATTATTAGGAAATTCCAGGAAGCAAGGAAATGCTACAAGACGCTGAGATGGCAGGAAACGAGTGGGCTTTTAGGTGACACGGAGTTTTACTTAATGTGCTTGCCCTTGTGCTGCCATTGTTTGAATATTAGTTTTCCATGCTGTCAGGGGTGAGGAATATCTTACTGCTTCACGTTTGGATCTTGTACATAGTCGATGTCCATAGTTGACTAGGTCTCCACAAACATTTTGGGGAGTGAATAAGCAAATAAATGCAATACTTAGCAGAGAGGGCTACAAAATACTAGGAGGGTTGCTATAAGAGAAAAGGAATTAATTTCCAGAAAGCCTCATTTATCATGATTTCAGCGCAGCAAGTGTGTACTTTCTCATGAAAGAGCACTCTTACTTAATGAAATCATATTTAACTTTGGGAAAATAAGCTGCATTCTGTTTTCCTAATCAACTATGTCTTATTAATAGCACTAACATAATCATTTTAAAAGAATGAAAAACAAAACAAGAAAAGCTCTGTCAAGTCTGTCTCTCAGAAAAGGTTCAAAGCTTGAATAGTTCCTGGGAACAATTTGCTAGTCTAGAGAATTCTCCCCATTTTGGTCAGGGCCTCCTATGGAGAGATTTATGTGCAGTGTATGTCAAGAGGCAAAATAATGGCATTTCCCTGCTATACAATGATTTGGACATTTGCTGAGTGCAGAAATGCACCTTTAAGCCAGAGAAAGAAGCAGAGTCTGCCCTGATCCAATCATTTTGAAAAGCCATGTGCACTGAAGCCGGGACCCAACATAATGACAGGATTTAATTGCTAATGCTCTGGAGGCACTGTGCCTCTTGATGTGTTGACCTTTAACCCAGACTTAGGAGGGTGAAAAAAGAGAGGGGACGGTCTCCCTCCCCCATCTGATCAGGCCTGCCTCTAACCCTGCCCACATACCCCTAGCCTTCCACTCTCCACCCCCCATTCCCATTTAGTTAATTCCAGCTTTGGGGCCAGGGTGAGAATGAAAAGAAGAGCAGAAAGGAAGGTGGGAGGAGAATAGGAGAAGGAAGTCTGCAAGCAGTTGACAGCTGCTTAGAAGCAGGAGGGAGAATTATAGCTACTGAAATGAGAGCTGAACTCCTGCTCCCCTGATGCTTCTGTCCCACCCCCTAATATTTCATGGGATTTGGCCTTAACATGTTTCTGTCCTCTGCCCTATTTCACCCTTTCTGGTTCATATTTATAATCATTCCCTTCTCTACACCTTCAGCTCCCTTCTCCTCTTACTTGGTTATTTATGAAGGGCAAAATCACGAGCAAGTTAAATTCAAGGCTCTGCCTGTTACACATCTGTACCACAGCAGCTGGGAGTTGAAAATAGCTGGAGAAAAAGCACTAATACGCTGATTGGTCTCACTGTAAATTCATGACCAGTAGCCTTGAGTCAGCCCTTTGTGTGCTGCTCAGCAAGCTTTCTAGGCCTCTCACTCTCCTGCTCTTTTACAAAACTTTCACACCTTGTGTTCCAGCCACACCAGCCCGCTTTCTGTTTTTATCATGCTAAGCACAGTGCCACCTGAGGACCTTTTTAATTTATTTTTCTTTCTACCAAGCGCACCCTGCTTCTTTCTGTTTGCTCCCTCACTTCCTTCAAGACCTTGCTGTATAATGTCATCATAATCACTCAGGCCTTCCAGGGGTCACTCCCCCCCACCCGACACCCTGTTCCCATACCTTTGTGTTTTCCTTAGCAATTACAGCCATCTACTAGTCTGCGTATTTTGTGTGTGCATTTCCTTCTCTGCTAGAATGAAAGTTTTCAAAGAGCATGGTTACTTTTCATTCTTCTATATATCTGCAACTTAACATAATGGGTGCCGGTGCGCCATACATTTTAAGGAATGGATAGATGAATACCCTTGGGTTTTGAGAATTCTTTCTTTCCATTTGCCAAACCTAGCCTTTTCACCTACTCATAGCCTGCAGTTATGTTTTGTATGGTGACCATTGCTTCCAAGCCCAGGTTATATGCATATCATCTAATTGATGGGGAAATTATCTTTTATTTGGACTGTCTTGGAAAGTCCAACATGCTTACCAAGTGTATTCTACCTTTACTCATAGTTTCATAGAGTGGAATCCTCAATGGAAGGGTAGAGGCTTAATGGCCATTTTCCACTTAGTTTGATGGCCTCTGGTAGTGGAATTGACTTGTTTAAAGCTACTAAGCTAGGTTTAATTTAAAATAAATGTGAATTGAAGTTGTTTGGTTTTGCAGAGTTCTTGCTCGGGATTACTGGAGATACCCAGAAATTAGTGGACATGTGTATGGTCATTATCTGGCCTTATCTTTTCTGTTTAGCGCATACAAGGGCTAGCATGCTCTCTCACCCATCCTTCATCTTGCCTATCTGGTCAGGCTTGAACAGAATTTCTCGCCATATGCAAGGTATATTTATTCTCTCACTCCACATGTTTTCAAATGAAAACTCGCCACTTGTACCAAACCATCTTCTGTAGCTTGACCCTCCTCCCATTCAGCCCAGTAAATACATCCTTGAGTGTATGTGGGCGATCGTGGTTGTAATCAGATGTCAGTGGAAGAGGCTTGACAGAGCCATGTTATTTTCTCACAGTCATTGAGCCTAAAGATCCGTCTTGTATTTATTTATCTGCGTCCTGTAACTTCCTCCAAATTTTCTCCTTTTGTAATGAATGTTTTGGGAAGGAGAAAGGTGCATTCAAATTTGAAGGGTATGTTCACATTTGTTTTCAAGTTTTTCTTGCTCTGGAAATAATGAAAGCATGAATGGTGGGAGCTATAAATACAGCGTGCAGAGGGTAAATACTCCAAAAGCCTCACAAGTCCTCATTAAATTATCTTAATATAAAATTAATAACTTGCCCTTTCGCACGCTCAGGCTTTCAGGCGTGCTTCCCAATGGCCGATTTCTTATTTGCTCAGCAAAGCAGGGGAGTAAGCTAGGCACTGTGTAGGGTTGAAGGAGGGCTCAAGAGATCTCAGTTCAGGAGATCCTTTCTTCTGCAAAACATTATTCCCTACCCTGAGTATGTGAGTATGTGTGAAGTTCCAGAAAATGGCAGGGAAAGGATATGTTCCCAGATTCTTTGTCCCCACTGGAAGCAAGGATGCTTTTCCCTTAGGATATTTGCACAGCGCCATGCAGGCTTGTAATAGTTTAGGTGCAGTGCAAGCTCTCAGCCCTCTGTACTTGAGAGCACTGGCCACGGCGCTCAGCACGAAGCAGACATACAGGAGTCGTAATACTCTGCATCGAGCAGAGTTTCTACCAGGAAGTTTTTGAACCTGGCAGCAAGCTTCTAGACATCACAGGTCCCACCTCCACCTCTTACCAGGAGTAGCACAAAGCACAACTTTGCCTCCTTTGACATCAGCAGTTACACGTGTAGGTGATCCACCAAATGTAATAGACCGAGTTTGTGGGTCAAATGGGAGCAAAGCACGCTGACTTTGGTAACTTTTAAATGAGTTGCCTGGGTGTTTTGATCTGGTGTGGGAATGGCAAGGAGGAGGAATGTCACTATTTCTGAAGTTTACTTTAATGATGAATAGCTCTGGAACAACTGATACATTTTAATTTAAAATCTTCCCCTGGTACCAAATGAAAGGCAAGAACATAACTGGATTTGGAAGGAGAAAGATTAACTTACTCTTAGTGGCCCATGTATGAAGTCCTTCAACTTTTTGGCCATCAAGAGTTACTCATCTGATAATTGGGTTGAGGGATGCCTTCCCTTTTCTTAATTTTTTTTTTTTTTGCCTTCTTATTCACTTATTGTGGTTGCCCTGTGGGGTCATTCTATGACGGGAAGATAGCATATTTTTTAATTTAATGTTTTACATTTTTGCTCTTTTATATGTGCACATGTTCTCCTCACTCTCCACCAAACCACCAGTTCCCATACCCCTTCTGCCTCCTTCTACCCTCCCTTCCCCAAGACACTGGTCAGTATCCTGGTCAGTCATGTATTGAAAGTCCTCCAAATGTTTAATGATTTCAGTTGAAGTAGAGAAATTCATCAGAACAGAATCTAGTACTGCAGGACAAAGGAGACTTAATATATATAGGAGTAGAATTTGAGTCCTAGCCAAACATTTCTCTGGTAGCTTAAATAATTTATTTTTATTTTTTTTTCCAATAGCAACCTTGCCTTGGGAACAAGATTTTGCTCCCCTGCAGACACCAACTAATCTCTTCAAAGGTTTTGGTTTTATTACTAAAGAGTGAGATATCCAGAACCCAAAGAGCGTGTACAACAAGAACCAGAGGCAGGATCATTCTGTATAGAGACTAAAGAACCATTTCTTTGTTGTCTCTAGTGGTGAACTTGCAAAACAAATCAAAATTTCCAGATTGCCACTAATTCAGGATAAGTGTATTTTATTTGCAAAGAAAGCATGGATTCTCTAATGATACATGGTTTTGTCCAAATGTGGACTAGGGATGCCGGGATGTCTAAGTCAAAAGAAGCATTCATTGAAACAGTGGATGGAAAGAAGGTTAAATTGGTGATCTACCTCAAAAGTGGAGGACACACAACTGTACAGCTAAGCAATAATATTAAAAATGTGTTCCATCGATCTTACGGAGACAACCAAGAACACCTGCATTTAATTTTCAAAAATAATAACTTATTGTTTATTGAAAAATTATCTTCCACAGATGCCAAAGAATTGAAGAGATTCCTGGACAAAGTCCATCAAAAGAGGCTTCAGCCATCCCTGGAACCTAATAGTGATGTGAGTATCACTACCAGTACAACAAAACAGAAGAAGAACAAAACCTCACCTAGCAAAGTGTGTAAGAAGTCAGATAGTGAATCTTTTGAGACAGGAGAAGGAAACGTAGTGCCTAACCATCAGGCTATGCCTTTGTTTACATCAATAGCATCAACACTTACCCACGGAGAGTTAGAAATTCAGTGTGAGAAGAGAAAGCTATCATCTGATTCAGAGATGAATCAAATCTTCATGGGCGGGAATGAATCTGTAATACTTAAGAAATCCAAGAGAAATCCCTTTGGGTATGGAAACTACAGTGTGAAGAAAGAATGGAGAAAGAATAAGATACTGGGCTTTAAACCTTCATTTAAATTCAAGTCTACTGGGAACGCTTACCTAGATGGCATTGGTCTTCTCCATACTCTCAGTGAGAAAATACACTTGGCACTTCTTTCAGATCCAAAGAATAATGAGGATGAGCCTGCATGGGAAGGATTTGAGATCACCTTAGATATTTACCCAGAGAAACTATGGCAAGGCCTCCCCAATTTGGGAAACACTTGTTATATGAATGCAGTTTTGCAGTCCCTATTTTCAATTCCACCTTTTGCTAATGATTTACTCAGTTGGGGTTTCCCATGGGGTAAATCTTCCCTTGATGCTCTTAGCTTGTGCTTGGCACAGCTGCTTGCTTTGAAAGATATTTACAATGTCAAAATTAAGGAGAGGTTGCTCGTGAATATTAAAACAGCCCTTTCAGCAGTTGCAGGGATATATTCTGACAACGTACAGAATGATGCTCATGAGTTTCTAGGTCACTGTTTAGATCAGATGAAAGAGAATGTGGAGAATTTCAACAACATTGAGAAGACAGAAAGTAAATCTGGAGAAGAAAATTCACCTCAACAGGTTTTTGCTGGCAGTGCTGTCACCGGTGTGTTCTCTTGCCCCGTTATCACTAATTTCGAGTTTGAGTTGCTGTCCTCTATTATTTGTAAAACCTGTGGTCATGTTGTTCTCAAGACAGAGCAGAGTAATTATCTCTCGGTCAACCTTCCCCAAGGACCAAAAGCACATCCTTTGTCTATTCAGTCTACTTTTGACCTTTTTTTTAAAGCAGAAGAGCTTGAGTATACATGTGAGAAGTGTGAGCACAAGCGTTCCATTGCTGTGCACAAATTCAGTAGGCTCCCCAGGGTCCTCATTGTTCATCTGAAACGCTATAACTTTAATGAGTTTTGGTCATTAAGGAAAGATGACCGAGAAGTTGTTATTTCCAAATATTTACATTTGTCTTCTCTTTGCAATGGAAATACCAAACCGCCTCTTCCCTTGGCCAAGAATATACGTGTTAGGGATTTGCAAGTCTTAAAAATCTTTCGAAAGATGACTTCTAAAGCTGCCTTTTTCTCGAAAATCTCAAGGAAGTTAGCCGCAAAATCCAAAGATTTTCTGGCTCCCCATTTTGGATCAACCAAAGCATCTGAGCCACAGAAAGGTCAGACTCCCCATAAAGGGTCAAGCAGAGAAGAGCAGCAAGAACACCTGGAAAAATATTCTAAACTAAACACAATGGAGACCAAATTGGTTAATGGAAGAGTTGGAGCAAACACTGAGAAAGGGCTACTAGCAGCTGGTTCAGTGATAAATGGGAAAGACCCCTCCCTTTCTCTGATCCATGAAGGTGAAGGTGAATCCACCAGTATCCCAGGCACCTGTCCTGCAGAAGTTTATCTTAAAGAAGTACTTGAAAATCCTAAACCAAAGAAATGTGAGGAAAAGAATATATTTGAAGAGTTAAATTGTGAGAATTTTACTGAGACTACCAAAGATTTTCATGAAGACGAAATCAAAAAAGTGGCTGAACAGAAACGCCAGCAAGAGGGGATGAGACTCTTTGAAGAAGTCTTTCGGGAGTCCCTACTTCAAAACTGTCCAGAGCTAGACTCCCTGTGCAGCATGGAGAACCTCAGAAGACCTGCGGACTGTAGTTATCAGGATGCCAACGGGAGTTCCCTAGGTGCCTCGGGTTCCAGTAAAAACCCCAGAAACAAAGACTTTTTAGATCTAGGGAAGGCAGGAAAAGCATCCGCTGAAAAGACAAATGGAAATCCTGAGGGAGATAAGCATGCCTATCGGCTCATCGGTGTTGTCAGCCATCTTGGGAAGACCCCAAATTCAGGCCATTATATCAGTGATGCCTATGACTTTGAGAGGCAAGTTTGGTTCACATACAATGATCTGCAGGTATCAAGTATCCAAGAGGGTCCAATGCAGGCAGCTAGGCTTTGCACTGGGTACATCTTTTTTTACATGCACAATGAGATCTTTAAAAAGCTATTGGGAAGAAAACAGAACTTCAAGTCTCGTCATGCAAGGACAAGGGACACCTATGAGCAGAAATAAGAGGAACACATTCCTGGTTGCACAAATCTGCTTGGCAGCCATATTGGCTACTGTTTCCTCCATGGGACAAAAACTCTGAACTGTAGCCAAAGAAGTGGAAGCAGTCAGCACCCAGGACCAAAGTTAAAACAGAAACACTTAAGAGAAAATCTCTGTTCTAACCCCGGTAACACACCCCTCATCCCCACACTTCTGGCTAATTAAGCATTCTTTTTCTTACTAGAATAGAACCTACTAGAATAGAAACATGCTTCCGTATTCTAACGTAGTAGATTTTAACTGGTTCTCTAACCAGATGTATCAGGAACATGGACTAACATGTTAGAAATACAAATTCTTGAATTCCACCACGTAACTGCAGATTCAGAAAATCTGGGGTGATAGAGCAATTTGATTTGAGATTCTGATACTTGATAAAGCTGAACAACTGCTGTGGGGTATAGCGTATCACAGTGTATGTTGCAGTTGTATATGTGATTTACTTATATTAATAATTTGTAAAGGGACATGATCGCATCTTTTGTTTCTTCATGTATGACTTTACACGCACAATCGCTTATCTGCTGAGCATACTCAGTAATTTAGTGGGAAAAAATAGTTTCTGGCAATAATGAAAGTTCCTGGCAATGAATGTAAACAGTTACAGAGGGTCCTGGCAATGAAGAATTAGTTGCTGGGATCCTGGCAATAAACTGTGAATGGAGCCGGTAATTTACAAATCCTCTAGATGAGAGTGAATGCCAGGTCAGATCACCAAATTGTTTGCTAAACTGTCCCTTAATGCCAAAGGGGGCTTCTGTGCCCTCAAGCTTAAATAGGATGGAGCAGTTGACTTTATCCTCAAGAAATTGATCCACGGTTCCTGTCTGTGTGCTAGCAAGCTGTTCTTGGAGATCGGAGCCCACTGTGTCATTTTGGTCTGCTCAGAGGGGCTCTCACAGTCTCTCAAAAGAATATTGTTTAACAAAACTTTATCTGAAGCCTTGAACAGTCCTCTGCATTCAAGATTACAAAGCTGATTCCAGATTTCTTTTATTCCTTCCATGTGGAAAGAATACATGCTTCAAAGGACTTGTAGGATTTGAAAGTCTTACTTGTTACTGACTTGTTGATACTATTATGTGTACTATTATGTGTACTTGGAGATGACCTGCCTCTCGGTAAAAGTTCCCTGGATCCAGGGCTGGTCATACGCTGTTGGAGCACCATGTGATTCAGAGATTTAGTAATTCTGTCATTAAGTATGCCATCTCTGAACCTAGCCTTTTCGTGCCTTTGGGGCAGTGACTCTGTAACACCTTGTACCTTTGCTAGGGATAAATTATTTGTACTAAGAGACTTGGTCACAGCACATGCAGGCATTGAGTTTTTGGTCCCACCTTTACCAACATGAATGCCCCCCCCCTTCCTTGTGTACGGGTCACGGTCCTTAGTACGGCTGTATTAATCCAAGAGCTGGCTGATGCTCTTAATCCCAGAGGGCTTCAAACAGGTGAACTGGAATTTTGTAGTGTGGGAAAGTTAGATAATGCCCTCTGAGGAGAAAATCAGATTCTGAAATGGGAATTCTATTGTTCAGAACACCATGTATCTAGAAGGAGGTCTGAATGGGACCCAATGATTGCTGAGGTAGATAGGGGGAGGACCCTAGATTGAATTAATCACTCTCATGGAAGATCGCGTTGCGGGCACAATGAGAGATTTGTTCACCTTATGTAGTGTACCCCATCAGCCACAGAAGTTGAGGCTAAAGCTGGAGTTACATTAGAGGAGGGGAGTGAGGTTGCTGTCTCAATTTCAGGCATCAAAGCACGAGTTTTTGTAAGAGGGAGGAAGAAGTAGTTTTGTTTTGAAAGAATAACTAGGGTGCAAGTAGATTTAAGAGATTTAGACATTTTTGGTGTAGGGTGTAGCGTATTACATATTTAGGATAAGCAGCTCCTCGGCAGGTGCATTCGCAAATGCAGGGCACATTCATGGGAGAATAAGCTGGCTGGGTCTCCATGGGAGGGGAGAATGTTCTGGACAGACAGCTCGGATGGAACCCATCGTGGCCTTGTGACAAATTCCGAGTGCACTGTGAGTGGCTGTATACCATCTACCTGTTACATTGTTAGTTCAAATAAAGTTTAGAAGAATTATTCAGTGGTTTGGTGGCTGTTATTTATTACGGATTTTAATTGGTTCTCTAATTTACAGATCAGGTTTTCAGGTAATCCACGGACCTGAAAACTCATGCTCAGTTTCTATTGCTTCTGGTACAAAAAAATTAACAGCTTACACTACTACACAAATTTATTATCTGAAAGTTATGGAAGGGGGCATCTAACATCAGACACAGGTATCACTGGGTTAAAACGCAGACACTAGCAGTGTTCCGATTCTTTGAATGCACTATAAAGAGTCTGCTTCCCTGCCTTTGTCTGCTTCCGGAGGCTGCCTACAGTCCTTGCTTCATGATTTTTTTTCCTCCATCTTCAAAACCAGCAATGTTGAGTGAAGCCTCACGCTCTATCTCTGATTCTCCCTCTTTCTTACTCTTCCGTGTTAAAAAAAAAAAAAAAAAAAAAAAACTACAGGTGTCAGACTGGGCCCACCCAGTTAATCCAATGTAGTTTCCCTGTTTTAAGGTCAGCTGATTAACAACCTTAGTTTCCATTTGTCTTATAACTGTATTCATGTCTCAAGAGTTACACTGTGGATGTCTCTGGGACCTTTACTCTGCCCAGCATACGGTAGTCACCTTCAGTGGGAAACTGTCACAGCAAAAAAGGCAGAATGCTTCAGACATGGAATTCCCCATTAAGAAGACATCGTTTGTCCAAGGAAAAAGCCTTGGACAGATGGAGTATTCCAGGGTTCATGGGCTCTGATGCTTCTCTCTCCCAAATTTAAGCCCAGAGAAGAAATGATCAAGAGGACATAGGAGGCAAGAGAGAGAGGAAGTTGGGGCACTCAGTGGTTCTGTAGGGCTGTGGTTGTGAACACAAATTACCCACATGGCAGAGTAGGGAGCACAAGGTGGCAGGCTTGCATGGGTGGCATTTCCTGCACCATCTGGCAAGAACAAGCCCAAACATAGAAGAATGGCTCAGCGTAATAAGCCAGGAAGAAAAAGAAAAATACTGGCTAGTCTCACTCATAGCAGGAATCTAGAAAACTTAAATAAGGGACCAGGAAAATGAATAACTATAAGAAAGAAAAAAGCAAAACCAACAAACAACTATGAACCAGAGACACTCTATGGGGGGGCAGCGGGGAAAGGAGGGGTTGGGGTCAAAATATGGGGGTTGCAATTGTATGGGGAATATAAAAATAAAATTAAATTTAATTAAAAAAAACATAGAAGAATGATGCGGAAACTGACTGGGCAAATACCAGAGAGATGGAGGGAAGGGGCCAGTGGAAGTGAATTCAATTAACCTCAACAAGGATTAACTCAATACTTCATCTGTACTAGCCGACAAAATGTGGATAATCTAGCTGAGAAGAGAGAACTTGATATTTTTGTCACTGGGGCTACCAGCCTTGAAATAATAGCATCAACTCTAACTCCACCCTCTTCCTCAACCATCATCCATTCAATCAATCTCTTGTCTCTTCCTCTTCATTCATCCCTTGTGCTGCCAGCCTAGACCAGACTAGATAATCAAGTCAGGCAACTAATAATCCTTTGAGTCTGTGATGTGCATATGAAAATATAACTGATGAAACCATATCATACCAAAGAGAAAAGACATTGAGAGCGATAGAATTTCAAAGAAAGAAGGTTGTTGGGGTCTAGAGTGATTAGATGAAGCTTAAAGACAGGCAAGACAACTGAGCTGCGCCTTGAGAATTGCACAGAATTCAGGCATATGGAGTGGGGACTTCCCAGTGGAGGGGGAGGGGCCTAGCAGTGTCCGAACATATGGACTGCCTCGCTATTCAAACACACAGTGGCATTAAACAGAATCTAAAGCTATTTTCCAAAATGAGGTGAGGCATCAAGAACAATGACCAGAGGCCTAACTTAAGCTGTGTGACCACGGAGGAGCACCTTGAGATTGTCCCTCATTTAGTGAACGTGAGGCTCTGCTGACTAATGGTCTCTGGTACCCAGGGAGACTGTTACTTATGCTAAAGGTAGCATAATTGGGTGGGAGGTGAGCAGGAATACCCCCTACACACCCCTTGTAAAATGGCATCCTCCTGAAACATCCACCATGAAGAAAGAAAGGAGACATCCATGTCCGCACTGAGACTGTGTTAAGAGATTTACAGTTCATTCAGACCTTTGTGAAATTCTTAGGAAATGCCTATAATGCAATTTGTTTATGGTTTGTTCACTAAAGCTGTACCAACTTAACCACTGTATACCACATACCATGAAATGAATGTTCTGCAGGACAAATATGAAAGCTAAGAAAATCTCTCCTATATCTTCTAGAAATCAAATCAATCCAAAAAGCCACTGTTGAATATATACATATATATCTGTATATACATATGTATATAAATAATTGCACTTTCCTGCCCAGATATGACATATCATCTACTCCAGCATAGGCATCTCCATGGCAGGCAAACTGTGAAGGAATTGAGGACTGATAAACTCTCCACTGGGAATTCCCTCTTCATGTTACCACATTCCTATTCACATAACCAGTGACCTCTACAAGTCAGGATGGTCTCATGAAGTACAGCAGCAGCTTCCCAGATGAATATGGGTGCTTTGAAGTCATTTGGTACGTTGAAACACCACGTTGTGCTCACCAACGCTGATTCCTCTTTCACGGCAGTGCTGGAGTCCACTCACAATCCATCCACACACAAGCTAGTACCATGAACTTGAGAAACTCATCAGTGCATGAATGATGCCTTCCTGCTGGACAACATTTACCAGGAGAAAGGCTGGCAATTGAGCCGTGTTGCCCAGGATGGAGGTGACTGCAGACAAAACAAAACGTGCAGGAAAAAACCTACTGCCACATCCTGCCCAAACGTCAGGATAAACACCTTCTAGCTTTCCCAAAATGGTAACCCTATGTCCACCACTAGAAGGTAGACTTTAACTTTGAATGAGTGAAGCCTGTCCCAAAAGACACACTACCCTGAGTGCGGTGAGCAGAATAAATGACCACCACAAAGGTGGGCCACATCCTAATCCTCAGAACCTAGGAATACATTGTCTTACTCAACAAAAGGGAATCAAGGATGCTAATCAACTGACCCCCAGATGGGGTGTTAGCCTGGATTATCTGAGTAGGTCCAATGTAATCACAACGTTCTGAAAAGTGGGAAAGGGAGAAAAAGTTAGAGGATGTTATAGGAAGGCTTGGCCCATATTTGCTTGCTGCCTTTAAATGTGGAGGAAAGGAGCCGCAAGCCAAGGAATATAGGTGACCTCTAGAAGCTGGGGATGGCGAGGACGTGGACTCTCTGGAAGTGATAGAGGTCCGCTGACGCCTTGATTTCAGGCCAGCGAGAGCCATTTCAGACTTCTGTCTACGGAACTGTAAAATAATAAATTTGTGTTACTTTAAGCCACTAAATTTGGAGTAATTTGTCACAGCAGCAATGGAAAACTACTATAGCATGTAAGAGTGCCTTGTTGGGTCTCCCTGGGGGTGCAAGGGGTTAAGCACCGCACTATGAGGCAATGCACAGCCTCTGTAGCACGAGTTCGTTCCCGGGCCGGCCAGGGAGCTACCCACATGGCGCAGCAGACCTCTCCTGACTCGCCCACTGTCCCCCTCAGCAGTGTATTTCCATTGACCTGCCTGTTCTGCTCCCTACTCTGTCTCTGGTGAATCCTCTCCCCCCCACACATCTCTGGCCTATACCCCAGTTCTTGTATGCATAAATAAATAAATCTTAAAAAAAAAAAGAGTGTCTTATAAGCTCCCTTGGGTTCCTGATGACAACGTTGAACTTTTTTTTTTTTTTAACTTTTTTTAATAGAGGCATGCTTTTATTTATTTATTTTATTTGTTTGTTTGTTTTGTTTATACATGCACTGGGTACAGTCAGAAGCGCGGGAGGGTGAGAGAATTCACCAGAGCCAGAGCGGGGAGCAGAGCAGGCAGAAGGACCGAAGGACACTGCTGAGGGGAGCAGCGGGCGGCAGGAGAGGTCTGCGCGCCATGTGGGACCCTCCTCCGGTGGCCGGGGAGCAGCCGGGGATCGAACCGGCGCCACAGAGGCCACGGGCAGCTTCGCAACCCAGCGCTCAACCGCTGCTCCACCGGGGAGGCCCGACAACGTTGAACTTCACCTAAGCCCTGTGCTGCTAGAAACAGAGCTGGGTAATAACAATCCTCCCAGTCAAGACTGGGTAGCTACATGCAACTGGACCCGTATTTTATACCACTCACAAAAGTTAATTTGAAATGGATTAATTGTTTACACAGAAGACCTGAAACCGTAAAATTCCCTGAAGAAAACATAGGGGAGAAGTTTCTTTGACATTGGTCTTGGCAACAATGATCTGGATATGGAAAAAAAATAATGGGATTACAGGCAAACTGCTGTATTGCACATTGCTTTATTGCACTTCACAAACATCGAGTGATTTTTTTTTTGGTTTTTAACAAATAGAAGTTTTGTGGCAAGCCTGTACTGAGCAAGTCTATTGGCACCATTTTTCCAACAGCACGTGCTCACCTCGTGTTTCTGTCACATTTAATTAAGACATGTACATTGTTTTTGACACAGGGCTATTGCATATTTAATAGGCTACAGTAGAGTGTAAACATTTTTATATGCGCTGGGAAACCAAAAATTCTTGTGACTTGCTTTATTATGACGTTTGCCTTATTGTGGTAGTCTGGAACTGAACCCACAATATTTTCAGTGTGTCTATATATCAAAGAAAAAAAACTGCACAGCAAAAGAAACAATTAGCATAATAGGAAAGCAATCTATGGCAGAGGCGTGGATATTTGCAAACCATCTATCTAATAAGGGGTTAATATCAGAAATATATAAAGAACTCATACAATTCAAGAGCAAAAGTCCCAATTAAAAGTGTGATGAGGGTCTCCCTGGTGGTGCAGGGGTTCAGCTCTCAGCACTATCCAAGCTACCCGCAGCCACTGTGGCATGAGTTCAATCCCCAGCAAGAAGCTAATCCACATGGTGCAGCA